ATGTATGTATAGATGTATGTATTTATGTATGTATGGATGGATGTATGGATAGATGTATACATGTATAGATGTATACATGTATGTATGTATGTATAGATGTATGTACAGTATGTATGTATAGTTGTATGTATGTATAGATGTATGAATAGATGTATGTATGCATGTATAGATGTATGTATGCATGTATAGATGCATATATAGATGTATGTATAGATGTATGTACCTATGTATGTATGTACGGATGGATGTATGTACGGATAGATGTATGTACAGATGGATGTATGTACGGATAGATGTATGTATTTATTTATTAATCCAGGGGGGAGGGGGGTTCGAGGAACAATTTTGCATTAAATATTTATGCAGTTTGATCAAAATATATAAATATAATTTCTCATTATAAGAGAATCTTATTCCTTTAATAAGGCAGAGTGTTTAGGCTTCTCAAGGACGGTCGGCCATTAATTTGTTTCATAGCTTGTCTGAGTTTCTGAAATGAAAAGGTTAGTTTAGTGGAAAACTCTTCAGGGGCCTACACCTCCCGTTCACCTCATCCTAATGTTTATCAGATCTGAACCCAGGCGGCTAACATCGTCACAGAAAGAAAAACATTTTCAAGGATTCTTACAATAAACGTCTACCTAGCTGTCCGCCATCACTCACAATGACCTTAAAGTAATAAAAGGTTGTTAAGCTGGTAAAGTATTGAATGCGTTAAAGTCAAATTTATTTATAAAGTACAGTTAAAACAACAGGTTGCTACAAAAGTGCTGAACAATAAAAGACACAGGCAAAGTTTAAAAGAAAAATAATTATTCATTTAAACGCATCTGAAGAAAACAAACATGGAACACAGAACAATAAAACACAAACAATAAAACAATAAAACACGTCAGACTGAGTCAAACGTCAGTGAAAACAGATGTGTTATAAAAAAAGGAAGTGAAGATGTTTCATGTTCAGTAACGCATCAGGAAGTAAATCAAGATATATTTCCATCACAGCGGCCATCTTGGATTTTGACGAGATAACCCAATTGTTGAAAGGAATCATTGTTAGCCTAGATGTAGCCACACGCCCAGAAGGAGGTCAGAAATTCATGTACTTTTCAAGTTAGTGACTAACACAACACAGACGGACAGGATTTCTAATTCCTCCTCCTCACCTCACCACGAGGGATTAAAATACTTCTCTTTCCCTCCCCAGTGTAACTCCGACCCACTTGAACGTCTTGCAGCAAAAACATGAAGGTTTACTTTTATTCCCTGTTCAGCTCCTGTCCAGAAAAACACTCTTATGGAAAGCTACAAACATTTATTGTTCGAATCCCTGAGCGACGAGGCTCGTTGGCGTTCCGCTCGTCTTTACAGCGAACGTTGTGACGGACATGTCCCGTTTGTTTACTTCCTTTGCAGAAAGCGGTGAAGGACAAGGAGTTCGAGCTTCTCACCACGAAGAACCAGAAACTGGAGAGTCTGTGCAGGGCTTTGCAGGAAGAACGGAAGAGTCTGCATGAGAAGGTCCAGGGAGTTCAACCGGACGCAAACACCTCGGAGGAAACGGCCAAGGCAGAAACCGAGACGCAGGAGGCTCCCAACGATCTAAAGGAGGAGAACCCAGTTCAGAATGCTGCACCTCCTGCTTCTGCTGGAGAACCGACTCCACTAACCCAGAAACTGGCTCAACTGAAGGCGGAGCAGGCCTTACTGAAAGAGCTCGCTGGTTCCTTCACCATCTCTCATGTTGCCCCCACGGAAACAGACGTGAGCCAGTCACACGGACTCTCCGAGGTCATCCAGGAGAAGCACAAAGAAGAGAGGAACCACAAGGACAGCCATGATGGACGTCAACAACAGAGAGAAACGGAAATGGAGTCCGTCGATTAATGCCAAAACCACCGCGACAAGAAACTGCACGTACGATTTCTACAAATAAAAATGAAAAATGTCGTCAATCTGATCTTTTGTTTTTTAAGGTACTTTCAGTTTTATGAATTTCTTAAATTTAAAGCTTCTTTGTGCCACAATTCTCATACACCATCCGGGATTGATCACTTCGTTCCAGACTAGACTTGAACATTGTTCAAAATGTTAAAAACAAAACAATGATTTGCAAATCTAATAAACCTTTATTCACAACAGAACATAGTAAACACATTAAATTTGACAATTTTAAAGGAAAATAAGGTCATTTTTAAACTAACTGGTATGGATTAAAAAACAAACATCTGGAGCGTTTTGAATCTCATTAGGTTAATGGTCAGCAGGTCAGTTCGAGGACTAGGTATAAAAAACATTTTCAATAAGTGGAATCACTCAGAATTAACAATGGGCAGACCAGCCTGTGACAATCTGTCTAAAAGAGTGGAAGGACTTCTGAATAAAGTTCTTGTACGTAAGTTGGTCTACATGGTTCTTGGATTTTGGCATGGCAACCAAATTTTCAGTAGTGACCTTTTACACGATGCAGCTACAAGCTAAAATGGAAAGTTGGCACATTGCTCATTACTGAAGTTGTCCGGCTCACACGGCCATCTTGGATTTTGATGTGGCAACCCCATTTTCAAAATGAACAATTACGCCTCGTCGTAGCCACATATCAAAATGGAGCCTCACTTATTTTACCACCATATGTAAACCGGCCACTCCAGTCATTTGAGTGCTTTTTAGTTTTTATATTTCTCAAAAGGATAAACAACTGGAGAGTACAGTGGTGTTGCTGAAGAGTTATCTACGGTGGCCAAGGCCACTATTGGGCACCCCCCAGCTCCTCCATTACACCTGGTAGAAATATTTGTTCCCTCCACCTGCCAAGATCTGTCACTGTGCACTGCCTCCAACAAGCAAATTTATGAAATATATATGAAGAAGGAAATGGTTAAAGGACCAGGACGGCCTGTACGTTCTTGCGTCCAAAAGCATAGAACAGTTAAAAATGGTGTCGCTCTGCTGGGCTCTGCCGACAAGTAGAGGCAGCGTTCTGTGGGTCCAGACAAGTGTGCATAAAAATAGATGTTCTGCACTGGGTGGTAATTTGTGGAGGCAGTCTGAGTGTTGTGAGCAGGAGGCCCATCAATCACTCTGCAGAACAAGCAGACACGCTAACGACAAACATTCTGTGTCTAACAGGTTCCTGTCATCAGGCAGAAAATTCACAGTCACAAAAAGTCACTGATGGGTTTGACTGCAGTCGGTGTCTCTTTGCAGAACCAGTCAGCTGAAACTGGGAGAAGTGGAGATTATTTTACTAAGATTAGAACTTTATTGATGCCACAGGAAATTGTTGTGCCAAAGTTTCAGTACAAAGGAACATGATGCAAAAATAACAGAATATAAAAATACCAACAATTAAGTTCTAAACAGGTGCAGACAGAAACGTTAAGGTGTTGATTGAGGTGCAGGATTATTTTTATTGTCCTATGGGCAGAAAGGGGGAGGAGTTGAAAAGTTTGAAGGACTTCCTGCGTTGTTCTGTGGAGCACCTCGGTGGTCTGAAGGTGCTGAGTCCAGTGTGTCATGCAGGGGGTGTGACGTGTTGTTCAGGATCTGGAGCAGGTTCCTCAGCATCCTCTGCTCAGACACCTCTGTCAGAGACTGCAGGTCCTCTCCCAGAACTGAGCCAGCTCTCTTCATGAGCTTATTGAGTCCGTTGGCATCAGCTTTCTTCACCCTGCTGCCCCAGCACACCACAGCGTAGAAGACGACGCTGGAGACCACCGAGTGATAAAACATCTGCAGCATGATCCTGCAGCAACCATCGAGTGGTCAAACATCTGCAGCATGGTCCTGCAACAACCACCGAGTGGTCAAACATCTGCAGCATGGTCCTGCAACAACCACCGAGTGGTAAAACATCTGCAGCATGGTCCTGCAACAACCACCGAGTGGTAAAACATCTGCAGCATGGTCCTGCAACAACCACAGAGTGGTCAAACATCTGCAGCATGGTCCTACAACAACCATCAAGTGGTCAAACATCTGCAGCATGGTCCTGCAACAACCACCAAGTGGTCAAACATCTGCAGCATGGTCCTGCAACAACCACCAAGTGGTCAAACATCTGCAGCATGGTCCTGCAACAACCA